CCCGCACATCCCTGGGCACTATGGGACAATTTAGCACGGCCAATCCACCCTAACCTGCACATCCCTGGGCACTACGGGGCAATTTAGCCCAGCCAATCCACCCTAACCCGCACATCTTTGGACTGTGGGAGGAATCCGGAGCACCTGGAGGAAACCCACGCAGACACCGGGAGAATGTGCAAACTCCACACAGACAGTTGCCCGAGGGTGGGATCGAACCCGGGTCCCTGTGAGGCGGCGGTGCTAACCACTGAGCCACTGCGCCTCTCACTCAAAGTTGAGTGAACGTCTGGCATTCTCCCCCTTGGAGAGTTGTAGGGGGTTATTGGGAGCTGGTCTGAAAGGCTGGGTCAGCCCCACCATATCTGTGCTGACCATGATCCCGTTCTAAACTCATCCCAGCTCCCTCACAAGTTTATAGCTAACCCCCACCCCACCCCACCTCCCCCAACCCTCTCTCCACCTCCCCCATCCCCCTCTCCAGGGATCAGCGATAGTCCTGCTACTCATATCATTGAACCTTGTCCAAGAGAGAGGGAGAGAGAGGGAATGAGGAATGAGAGAGAGAGAGAGAGAGAGAGAGGGAACGAGAGAGAGGGGGGCAGCAAGCGAGAGGGAGCGAGGGAGCGAGAGAGCGAGAGAGAGGGAGTGAGAGAAAGAGAGGGAACGAAAGAGAGAGGGAGTGAGAGAGAGAGGGAGCGAGAGAGAGAGGGAGTGAAAGGAAGGGAGAGAAAGGAAGGGAGAGAAAGAAGGAGGGGGGGAGAGAGGGCAAAATAGACAGGGAGCAAGAGAGAGGGAGTGAGGGAGAGAGGGTGTGAGGGAGAGAGAGATAGAGAGGAAAAGGGACAGACAGAGAGAAGGAGAGAACGAGAGAGGGGGAGGGTGAGAACAAGAGGCGGGCGGGGGAGGGAGAAGGGAGAGGGAGAGTGAGGGAGAGACTGCGTGAGGGAGAGAGAGACCGAGAGGGAGCGAGAGAGAGAGAGAGAGGAAGAGAGAAACAGGGAGAGAAGGAGCGAGAGAAAGAGAGAGAGAAGGAGAGAGGAGGGGAAGGGAGCCAGAGAGAGTGAGAAAGAGTATCTCTGGAATGTGGCACAGAGAGAGAGAGAATGATAAACTGTGGTGCTATGTGCCAGTGTCTGGGATTATTAACAGTAACATGGGACAGAGTGAGCAGATGTTGGGTGGTGCTGAGACCTGAGCGTAACACGGTGTTCGGGGCACGAAAACATAGCTCCTGTCAGGCCATTTAGGGACAAACAGAGCAGCCTGGTCACTGTCTCATCGAGAGAAGGGAGGGAGAGAGGGCCAGGATCAGACCCACACTCTGCACCCAAACCTCCTGCTGCCTCTCTCCCTCTCCAACTTAACCCTTTCTCTCTCTTCTAGTGTCTCTCCCCCCCACTTCCCCCCACCCAGTCTCACTCCCACTGTCCAGCTTTTGCCGTTTTGTCTCTCACACTCCAACTATTCTTCCTCTCTTTCTCTCTCTCCCTTCCTCTTGCCCCCACACCCCACTCCATCTCTCTCCCCATCTGTCACTCTCACCATCTCCCTCTCTCTCTCTCCAGCACTTACCCTTAAACTTGCTCCCCGACTCTCTTTCTCTCACCCATTCTCCCTTCACCCCTCTCTCTTTCATCCCCTACCGCTCTCCCTCACCTCCCCTCTTCCCCAGCCATCTCCCTCTCCCTTTCTCTCTCGCTCCCCCTCCCTTCCCGTCTCCCTCCCTCTATCCTCACTCTTCCAGTCTCTCCACCATCTCCCTCCCTCTCCCCTCTCCTCCTCTCTCCCCGCCTCCATCTCCCCT